GAAAAATAGCTTTATTTTCTGCGAGTAACAAATCAAAATATAAATAGAAGTGATCGACATTGTATTGTCAAATATTTAAAACTTATTGATGCGATTTTCCTTTTTAACTGCCACAACTTAGAGCTGAAACCGATCAAAGAAATAATAACCAGTTTCAAAAAGAAAACATTTTATTGCTAACTAAAGGGAGGAAGCAAAAAACAGATCCTTCACTCAATCGTTACCCTCAAAGCGTTTGCTAAGAAGCAGCTTTCCCTTACTTTGTATCTTCGACCTTATTTCAATAAAGCTGAGTTTGCGAGCGATAAACATCGATGCCTGCATCGCGATTGAAACTACATTCCGATCACGCAGCACTTTTGCTGGGAAAATTTAATTATACGGATCGCGATCTCTCAGAAAGTTGGTTGCTTTAATTGAGTTCCGCACTAATCTTTAACTTGCTCCCTCAGTGTAGCAAGACGCGAGCGATAAGCGTTTATAGTCAGAAGTTCCAAGATGTTTTCTAGAATGTTCTGTAGTTTACTAGTTCTAGTTTATAAATTACGGGATGGCTTTCTAAAGTTTTTAGTGTGTTTAAAACTCTTCTAAATGGGTTTTCTTTGTGTACGGCCCGTTGTTTACTCTTTGTTGCGTGTCAATTAGACTTTCGAGTGATTTATTGCTTTTGTAGATATGTTTCGTGCTATCGTCAAAATCCATTTGTTAGTTTTGATCTTCGACTTGGATAACATATGAGTTATTATTTTTATTAGAAGAAAAATATCATATCTGGAATATTTTACAACACAATAATAACTCATAATCTTCGTTATATTCAAGTATCTCCTCCTAATAGCCGTCAGATTCACAAATAAAAATAAAAACTCCACGTTCCTTCCCTTACTCCGAGCTGGTGCGTGGATCATCACTGCACGATATCCTTATTTCATTTTTCATTAAAAACAAAACACAGTCATCGTAGTCGCCATCTTGTTTCACATACCGCTATATCTATTGTTGTTTCAATAGATTAACTAGAAACTTGTAATAAGTCCGTATGTCTAAAAGCTTATAATTTGACCCATACAGGCTAAACTTGTGCGTGTTTGCTCCGGTCTTCTTGAGCAAACTTCAACACTTTCAATACCGCCGGCGTGGCTTTCACTTAGTTTGTTTTGTTAACCGTTTTATTACGCTACACGGTGGGATTGAAGTCTTACATCGAGTCCTTCTTGAATTCACGGAACCGTTTGTGATGTGTTTCGCGATGCAGAACGGAATTAGGTACGGCAACATTTGACCCAAGTTTTGGTCAAATATTTGACGAGAGTGCTAAGGAGTTGGAGCTGTTAATTTTATGTTCTTTTTAAATGTAAGATTTAAAATAATTTTATAAATTATAATTTATTTTTCTTGCTTTAATGACCTGGCACCTCTACTTTGCCTGCATTAGGTACTAAAAAAGTAACCGATGCTTCCTGGGCTAAAGAATTCCAGGTTCGTTCTACTTCTAGATGTTTATTAGTCTAAACTAGATTATATGTAATAATCTAGTTTAGACTAATAAACATCTATAAAATGCTACTAATCTATCAAATTAATACAATTATAGTAGAATCTCATAAATATTTCAACCACATTAGTTGTAATTAAAAGATTTCCAAGCTTACGCTAATACTCATTTCAAAGAGCCATCAAAGACGCTATTTTCGTTATGTAGGCTTGATGTTAGTCACCTTAATGGCACAAATAACAATTACTTTGGCGTCTATTTGACGATGGAGACACGAGGCTCATATTAGCGCGTTATATGTAACTCGCTAATGAGGGAGCGGTAATTAAATTCACTATCACGCTTCCCTGTATTCCTGGTACACAGACGGCTGAAAATTTAATTAAAAAGTCATAGTATTAGGAGTTGATTTAATAATAGGCTTATTTTGATAGTAGAGGTGTATATAAGGGTATCGATCCAAGATTTTTTTATTGTAAATGTCGGCAAACGAATGAATGGATTACCCGATGGTCTGCAATCGGCGCCGCCTATGGACACCCGCAAAACCAAAGCAATTAGTGTATTGTCAGCCTTTTGGGGTTGGGAAGGGATGGGGATGTATAATATTAAACTTGTCAATGTATGTAGATTATATTAATGTAGAATTATTATTGTGATATCGAGCTGGTTTGATGATTGAATTTAAGGTTGCATTAACCTAAAGCGTAAACGTGTTCTAGAGTGGAGACCACGTCTAGGCAAACGTAGTATAGGGCGCCCTCCAGCTAGGTGGACTGACGACATCCGCAGGGTGGCTGGCAGTGGTTGGATGAGAAGATCTGAACATCGAGCTCAGTGGCGTGCAATTGGGGAGGCCTATGTCCAACAGTGGACGACAACAGGCTGATGATGATGATGATGAATCTAAAGGCTAAAGGAACCGTGGGCACGTTCATTAGATGCATCCATATCTGCTTTTGTTCAGAGCGTTATAATGTTGTTTAAAAGTTTTATTTTTTACTAACATGTTTAATTTATCGAAAAATTATTTTTCTTTCACATCAAAAGTTTTACTAATTGACCTTTACAGCAACTTTGTTTCAATTAAACCTAAAAATACATTTTGAATCCTAAAATGATAAGGAAAGGTCAGAATAATTACAAAATTACACGTGAATTATCACCATTATTGAAATTACTTATAATAAGGATAATTAAATCATTATAACCACTGTTATACGTCAGGGTAGGTAATTATGTTCTTTTTTGGTACAATTATCACCCTGATTTCGCCCACTGGGGCGAAACCATGACATCGTAAGTAAGAGAAAGGGCTATACAATTTGTCTAGCTCTGTCTCTTACCCACGCTGAAGTAAGATTAAAACAATCTTACTTTGAACATCATGGTTAGCCCCCAGGACATAGGCCTCCCCGATTCCCCTCCATGTAATACCCAAAAGTATTACACGAAAATATTACAAAAAAAGTCTGGCGACGCGTTTTTTATTCATTACCACGAATTTATTGTTTAATAAAAAAAGTGTTTTATTCGAACCTATATGTGTATGATGTAATATTTATTGTAAGAAATAAAATAAAATTCAAAAATAACTATCACAATTAATGCCTTAGATTTTTAATTTATTGTATTTGTAAAAAATATTTCACTCAAAATAACCTGCCTATTTTTGTTTATTTAACACTAGTTACTCTCGCGCAGTTTCACTTGCTGCTCGGCTCCATTTGATAGTAGCGTGATGTTTTATAACCTATATCACTGAGGAACACTGTAGCTATCTATCGGTGAAAGAGTTTTGGGAATCCGACCAGCGGTTCCAACGATTACCTTCTAAATACCTACAAACTTACAAATTTTACCTAATTATAATATAAGTATAGATATAGATAATTAAGTTACCAACATTAGAATATTAAATACTAGCTTTCGCCCGCGACTCCGCCCGCGTGGACTAATATTTTTCGTATCCCACGGGAACTGCACATTTTTCCGTTATTATCTACCCCTGTGCCAAATTTCAACCAAATTCATTCAGTACTTTTTACGTGAAAGAGTAACAAACATCCATATATCCATACATACAAACTTTCACCTTTATAATAGTAGTAGGATACTCTGAGTTATACAAAACAAGATTTATAAGTAAATAGGTCAGAGACAAATCCTCATAATCTTAGATATCACGGTATAATACAAACGACTTAAGAAAAACAACCGAGGCTTTACAAAAACATTCAGGTTTGATGTCGCGTTAAAACTTCGCAGACACCTTAAAATTATACGAAGAGAAGAAATATACGCCATATTTTTTTACGCGAAGAAAGTCAGTAATGATATTTTACCTAGAAAGATATGCTTTTTATGTGAAAGGACGGCAAAGGAGCAAACGGATTACTTGGTTATAAGCAATCAGCGCCGCCCATGGGCACCCTTATCAACAGAGGAGTTACGAGTACGTTGCCGACTTTTTGGAGATTAGGAATTTTGGAGATTTAGGGATTGGGGAGAGATTTAAGGAGGGGAAGGATGGGCTTCCTGTAATTTCAAGCCTAAATCGAAATAAAACCTTATGATCGTTTAACGCTGGTTTTTTTTGTGAGCCCGTTGTATTAGTACGGTCGAGCCGGCACATTGATACCGAAACATTGTTCTCCCATACTTTGCTTAATTGGATATGCTAGTTTTGTCTTTAATAATATGAATTATATTATTGAACTGCTTTATAAGCCAGTGAGATTTCTTACTCAGTCAGAAGATGTATCTTTTCGACACATTCACACTTGTGCTAGGGCAATTACTCACATACGATGTGTCGCAAACAACATTGATACATAAGTACATACAGAGTGTCCGGTAAAGAATGGATAACCTTGAAATGCCTTTTAGTATATCCATTGGCCATTCAGAAAAAACAACGAAAAGGAATGATCATAGGTAGTACCTAAATTATTATGTCTTGAAGTAAAAGAACTAGGGCTAGAGGTAATACACAATGATCCTTTAACGTTTACGTTCATTACATTACTACATAACCACGATGATTAAACATTGCTTTAAAAATAAATTTTCACGATTTGTCTAATAAATTAATTTGCAAGTTTTTTATAAAATATTGTATATTTTTTGAATGGCCATAAGATATACCTTAAGGTATAATATTGCAAGGTTATCCACTCTTTGCCGGAAAATCTGTATATACAATAGATACGCAAATGTGAGAAAGAGAAAGAGAAAACATCTTCTCTTTTATAATATATACTATTTGGGTAAGGTGACAAAGGGACAGTAAGAGAAAAAAATACGCGTATGGGATTGTACTCACCACTTACACTTGTATCGCAAGCAGCACTAGTCCAACCTTAACCAGTGTCAGTGACAGACTGACAGTAGTGACAGATTGACAGCTATACTTCGACTACTAGTGTACACGAGACAATGTTAGTATGACTTTTTTGGAGATACAAACACTACAGGGATGGATCGAAATAAGAAGATAACTTACCTATCTGTAGTGTTATATGGTGAACCAGCGTATTGGCTAATGGAAGCCAATTCCACGCCTCCTCTGTATATTGACACTAAGGCCAAGTCTAGTGTCTTACTCTGAAACAAAGAAGAGACAAAATTATCTACTGTTTCGTTTGTTGTTATTCGTCGCGACCTGGCTGGATAATAATCGATTATTTTGTATAAGTATGCGTACTGAAAATATAGATAGCTTTGTTCACAGAAGTCGGATCAATAGTATATCAGTTACAGTTTTATTAAAATTCCTTAAGTAATTTTCATCGATAGGTACTTACAAATATTGACGTTTAAAATATTCTTAGAATTTTAAATATAATAGCACAGTTTTCTTACAATAGCTAATAGCTCCGAAGAATATAGTTTTTTATGTCTATCGTAACATTCATGATATATTTAATACCGTATTATCTAGCCAGGGTTGCAGGTCCCAATAAACCGCGGTCCTCCGCTGAAGAGGAGAGACAGAATAGGGTGGCTTGCAGTTAATAAGAGTCTAACCACACTCCTCTCGCCCCACCCAGAGTGGGAGATATCGTTTGATAATTTATCCAACCACCTACCTGTACTCGAGTGTTTGTTACTATAAAAACCAAATTCAGTCAATTGTTATTAAACTTATCGAAACGAATAAAATCCTTAATTTATGTAACCATAGAGTTTAAAATATAGAAGTATTCTTTTGGATTGTCAGTATGATTACGTAAGCGTAAAATAAATTCTGTTTTTTTTTAATAGTAAGGATGGAGTTTTCTCCATTCGAATCTACAGTAAAATTTGGAACTAGCACCTAGCTTTACTGACGAAGCGACTTACAGACCACTATTCTTGACTTTCACTTTGAAACCTTGTTTTAAAATTAAACCTTATAGGTACCTCACACCGCTATTCCTTGTTGCGCTTTCAACAATATTTTTTAGTAAATTCGTAATCGTGAGCATATCCGTATTAGCAATTATGACAGTTGCACCAAAACTGAAAGTACACAAATAATAATTTTAAAACCTTTTCTGGTAAATTGGCCGTTTGGAACTACACGCGCCTTTATTTATCAGTTCCACGTAAATTAATATTAAAGTTAAACAAAATTTATCCAATGAAAGGATTGTTTATTTAGGTGATTTTAATTTCATTGTTGAACATTCTTCTTTTAACACTTCCTTAATCATGTTTTTATAGGAACGGGAAAATTTAAATTAGTGTGGGGTTAATTGTGTATTATAAATTAGCTATGAAATATATATTATATTTAGAATGACTAGGTAACTAAACTTTGCAATCATTAGTAGAGTTGTCACATCAATAGTAGACTAGACATTTTCTTAACGGCATCCACAATATGCTTTTTTCGAAAATGTTTTGAATGTTTTTTTGGACTTGATATATTGCTTTTTTACTGTTCGTTATTGATTTTAATCCTTTTTGATATACGCGTATGAGTAAAATGTTTAATTAAAAACGATTCAGTATAGTTCATGATTTATTGACATGAATTACTTTTGTATGATACCCATATACACTCAGTCTCTTAAAGCAAAAGTATTAAGAACCATAATTCTAAAACTTGGTGTAAGACATTATTATTTTCTATTATAATATAATAAAAAAACAGCTAGATATAGGTAATAGCGCTCTCTGATAAATCTGATTTTTTTAGTAATGTTTATTGTGAGATATTACAATAAAAGAGCGGATAAACAAGAGAGGGATAAAAGCAAGCCCGTTAAAAATAAAACTCCAACTCGGCTATAAAACAAATTCATAGGTTAGGTCCATAGGCTATGAGGTACCGCGACCTCGGCCCAGAGCAGGAGAAGGAACAGGGGGGTTTTTAGTCAGTAAGAGTCTGACACTCCCTCCCGGCCGGCCTTGGGCGGGTGAAGTCGTTTGATGATTTGCCCCTTCCAAAAAAAAAGGTCCATAGGCTAGCCATGGCTAAGCCTTTTGTTATTGTATCAGTTAAATTAATTTTCATACAATTACTGACATCACCAACGACGGGGAAAAATAAAAAAGTGATACCAAAAAAATGTCACATAAACAAATTTTACAAAAATGTGATGCCGAGGAACAGAGCCAAATTTTTTAAAGACAATGATGTATACTTACGTCACAACACTTATTTGTCTTTGTGGGGATAAGGAAACAAAGTACGGATTTACCAAAATGACTGCGACATATCCATAAAACGAGTGAAGATAATCGCCGAACGAGTAATAAAAGTTCACACAGCGGAAAATCTACCTTGACACCAGTTGGGAAAGTTCAAATTTCTTTGGTCAGAAGTTTGGTTAGGTATCTGTCTTTTCTCATACATTTGGTCGAGTAATATTAATATTTTCCCGTCTCCGAGATATTTCTTTGTTGTAGAACCAAGTAGAATAAGTTTCTGTTCCCGCACTTAAGTACTGGTCTTTGGTGCTGTGGATGCCAGTAGTAACATTTTTAAGAGTATCAAGGAATTTCTAGGGAGCATTTTGTTAGAGAATGTTGTTTAAGTATTTCTTTTAACTTCTTTACTTATTTATGATGTAGATTTTTTTTGTATTCTAGTTTTTATTTTAGTTTTTAGTTTAGTTTGTATTTTAGTCTATTTTGTATTTTAGGCCCAATCTATCCCTTCCTCCAATCTCTCCTCAATACCTAAATCCCCAAATACCTAATCCCTAAAAGGTCGACTACTCACTCGTAACTCCTCCGTTGCGTGTCCATGGGCGGCGCTGATTGCTTACCATCAGGTAATTCGTCTGCTCGTTTGCCGACCTATCACATAAAAAAGTCCCCCACTACCTCCCAAAGACTTTTCTCACAATACACAATCTGCTACCAGAATCCCAATCCTCCAATCATCCGTAATCAACCATTGTCAGATTCCCCTAAACGACCGACAAACATCTTGTAACCCCTCAACATTGCGGCTGTCTATGGCTGACACCGAATGATTACCTCCTTAGAAAAATAAGTTAAAGCTGATTTAGTTTTTCAATCCAATACCTACTGCGTTTGACCAATTACTCATCATCATCATCATCATCAGCCTATAAGTGCCCACTGCTGAGCAAAGGCCTCCAAAAGGGCTCATACGGAGAAGGTTAGAGCATTGACCACCACGTTTGCTCAACGCGTGTTGGCGATTTCAAACTTATAATTAGAAATTATAAGTCCAGGTTTTCTCACGATGTTTTACCTCCACCATATTATGTCAGCGGTGTCTAAATAGTCATAGAAAGTACATATAACTCGGAAAAAGTCACATTGATACTTGCCTGGTTTCGAAACCACACCCTCATGCATGAGAAGCGGGCTCCTTAACCTCCGGGCCACCACGGCTACAACCAATTGCTGTGTTCACTTACACAACTGACGCCACCATTCATAAATAACATCATGACGAGCTTACTACATAAGTGCACGTACCACAGAGTACATAGCGAAGTAGTTTTAAGTGAACAAACTTCTGGTCCCGAGTTACAAAGTTCCCGAGATGATGCTCTTAAAGAACTTTTTATAACAACCAAAGTATCAGTTCCTTCAAGAAGCAGCTCAAAAACATGCCTTAAATGTTTGCTTGTAAGTTTTATTTTGGTTCGGATGGTTTCCTGTTTCTTTGGAGTAGTAGAAGGTTTTTAGGGTGAGTTGGTATACAATGATTATAATACTGCATTGAAATGGTTAGGAATTACGTCTTTTCGGAAAATAATTTAATGATTCCCTAAATATATGTTTATATTGTAGCGACATCTATCGCACAACAATAATAACAGCACCAATCACGTGCAAGATTCTACATCGCGCTATAAGTGTTCTCAACACAATTAGAACCGATAGAAAAATCCCGACAACAACCGTCGTCGGGCAGTAGCCCACCAGACATAACACCGGTCTAGTCGGAGGATCCTCCCTTTTCAATGGAGGATGAGGAACTTTCCACCATGTTCTCTCATACCTCTAAAATATGTACATAGTTCATCATCATTCAGCTAGAAGGTTACTAGACAAAGGCCTCCCCCTCCAAGCCGAAAGACAAGTCGCCACTCACATCCATTGGCTCCCCGCGATCCTGGCGAGGTCATCGGCACACCTAGTAGGAGATCTGCCTACACTACATCTTTCAGTCCGAGCTAGTGACTTGAGTACTTTCTGACTTATAGGCCGTCAGTCCTTCGAACGATGTGGCCTGCCCATTGCCACTTCAGCTTGCAGATTCTAAGGTTTATGTCGGTAACTCCGGTTCTTTGGCGAATTTTAACATTGCGGATTTTGTCGCGCAAACAAACTCCAAGTATAGCTCTTTCCATTGCTCGCTGAGTGACTTTAAGCGTCTAATAAACGAGACGAGAAGTAAGGACCCACGTCTCTGTATCGTATGACGTCATGACAGGCAAAACACAAAACATATTTATGTAGTAGTTTGCGGTGGCCCTGAACATAAAATCTAATCTGTAAGAACAGTCTGACAAATACTAACATCACTGTTTCCGATTCCTACTACGTAAGTACCTTTTAACATAATTTATAATCCCCTGACATGAGTGAAGGAAAATATGGCAAGGCAACCTGGACTTAGAATCTTAATTCATATCAATTATATGAATTTTTAAAATCATATTTATACTAACGCAACTTCATTACTATTCTGTCATACATATTTAAACTTAAGTTTAATACAACTTATTGTTTTATTATAAAATTCACTGAAAATTTTTGTTTGCGATAAAAAAAATTAGCCATCTGAGGGATGAAATTCACAAAGTTTCAGTTTTATGACATGGTATGATAAAACGTTAACGACTTGGGCCTTCTTTAAATTTCGAATTTATCTATAGTGTTATGTACGCAAACAAAGATGAGAATTTTAACTGACAACATCCTTTGTTATTTTCAAAATAACTTAAACGTGAAAGGTTTTAGAATTCCTATAGTATTATATACCCAAGTGTGGGAGAACCACGTTTAGCCACGAATAGCCCGGCCCGAACTAGAGTAACACAACACCTCAGAGAAAATTGTTGTGAAACAATATGTGAGTGAGGACCAATCTTTCCCCTCCCCCACCCTTCAGCAATACCTAAACCTCA